GGTCTATTCTACGTAAGCGCGGATGTATACCTGGCCGAATTTCACTGTGGGGGCAAGTCGTTTTTGGAGTGTAGTTTGCAGGGTAGATTAATGATGACAGCTTTTTAACATTGAAGTAAACTTACCCTTTAAGACCACAGTATTTGACGTAAACGAGATTAAAGTGATCAAATTAATTGGCTTGACACATGTACTGCTTCATCTTTTAGATTTGTAGCTTCATATATTAACATAAAGGCTGTAGCTATGCTTTTCTCTCCACCCAGCACTTACCGTGCCACTTCTTTAATAAGTGAGGCGTTGACAAGAACGAAACCCCCCCGCATTTAAACACAAACACATGTGAAACTCAGCCTCCTGCAAATCCCACAAATCACAGTTCACACAAACCCCCACAGGAACTGAACATGAGTATCCTTTTAGATGCAAAATTCACAGTAAAAGTGAGAGCTTCAGCCGTGTTCTTTCACATACAAACGTTTAATTTACAGTACACTTACAACACAGGAGATAGACAGTATGTTTTCTGCATATGGGACTCTTTACGTCATTCACAGATGGTTCTTGTTAGTGGCGAAGGCTCTTATTGCGAGGAACCTTTAGATTTCACAGTTAAAAAAAAACGTGATAGTGTCTAAAACCCTTGCAGGAGGAGATTTGGTGGTGTTTATTTGGAGTCTGAAGGGGTCGGATCGGTGGTGCCGGTGTGTCTGTTCCAGATATGGATACGCCCTGATATTTCCATTATTAAATCCTAAAAAAGTTCTTCCACTAAAGGACGTCGCACGAAACAAGAAGGAAAACAAACAGACTTGAGCCGTTTGACAGATTTAAAGGAATTTTCCGGGTTCAACACAAGTTGAGCTTCTGTGGCCTGATTTTCTTTATTTTGTTACCACAGAAGTCCATGCCAGTCTTTCCTTAGTTAGTGAAGACAAACATATTAAAATCACACTAACAGAAAAGTACATTCGCTGCAAAAAAAATAAATAAAAATAAATAAAAATAGTTTGTTTTGTTAAAAAAAAAAAAAAAGCATCTATACATTGTTAAAGAAGAATTAACCTGAGAAGCTAACTTATTAAGTCTTGTAAATTTGAAAAAAAAACATCTCAACAGTGGGGTCAGAAAAATACAATTTCAATAGAGTGGTTCCTTGTTAATCGTGGGAGTAATCTTTTGGCTTAGTCCCTTTATTTATCAGGGGTTACCACAGCGGAATGAACCGCCAACTATTCCAGCATATATTCATGAAACATTCATGCACACTCATTCACTCACACACTCCACAGCCATATCACCCTGCAGCCCAAGACCGGTTACTCACTGAAGCTAAGCAGGGCTGAGCCTGGATGGGAGACCACTAGAAAAAACTAGGTTGCTGTTGGAAGTGGTGTTAGTGAGGCCAGCAGGGGGTGCTCAACCTGTGGTCTGTGTGAGTCCTAAAGCCCCAGTAAAAGTGAAAGGGACACTACACTGTCAGTGGGTGCTGTCTTTCATGAGACGTTAAACTAAGGTCCTGACTCTCTGTGGTCATTAAAAATCCCATGGCACCTCTCGTAAAGAGTAGGGGTGTAACCCCGGTGTCCTGGCCTAAGTCCCTCAATCGGCCCTTACAATCATGGCCTCCCAATCATCCCCTTCCACCACATTGGCTCTATCACTGTCTCTCCACTCCTCCAATAGCTGGTGTGTGGTGAGCGCACTGGCGCCGTTGTCCTTTGGCTGCCACCGCATCATCCAAGTAGATGCTGCACACTGGTGGTGGTGTGGAGATACCCCCCCCCCCTCATGATTGTAAAGCGCTTTGGGTGTATGGCCATACACAATACATGCGCTATATAAACACACATTACATTACATTACACACTCAAGGCTGATTTATACTTCTGCTTTGAGTGATTGTCGTGACCTACGGCACCTGCTTGCTGTGAGGTGACATTACTAATGACTTTAAAGTGTTCCAGTTCAAATTAAATGGAAGTTTCTCTAATATATCTGTGAAGATTCAGGTTAAAATACTAATAATTATTTTTCATACTGTAAATTTTTGAGTTGAAAGCAAACATGAGAAGCTTTTGTGTACGTCTCTTTACTGTAAATGCAAATTAGCTGCTGCTGCTTTTGCCTCTTGCTTGGGATGCACTGGCGACAACAAACACATCATATTCACAACATCAATCGAAGCCTCTCGAGTTCAAATTCTGCATATCTGTGAAACGTCGACAACAACTTTTACGAACAGAACTTAATTAGGTGTTAATTATTTAGGGTGCTTTCACACTTAGACTTTTGTTTGGGAACCCGTCTCGATTGCCCAGTTTGCACGGTTCGTTTGGCATATGTGAATCCACCAATCGCGCTCGGATCCGCGCCAAAAAATCGCTCCGAGATCGCTTGCATGAGGTGGTCTCAATTAAAACAAACTCTGGAGCGGATCGATTGTAGTGAGAAAGCGAAACTATCCGAGCCTGGTTATATCACAGTGTTTTATGGATATGTTATAGGCATACGTCTATGAAGAGAGAATTATGAGTAGGGCGGGAGGTCATTCAACAGACATCCCAACTCTCCTGGAAGTTTCGGTAGTCTCCTGCCACTGCACAGAGACTCCCGACTAAAAATCTCCCGGAAATCGTGCGTCTCCCTACCGGTCTAATATGTCACACACCCTTCCCACCGCATCCCTCCTCGCTCTTCAGACTTGTCGCATGCACCTTGTCAAACACCACTAAACCACCCCCCTGACAGCTGAGCAGGACTGCAGAATAAACCGTGAAGCTCTGACCAATGTGAGGAGAGTTTAATCACACGTGACTTGTTTGAGCTCTTTTGGTCCGGTTAGAAACTTTGCCGTGGAAAAGCGAACCGCACCAACAGCAAAGAGCAACAATGTAACAGTTGTAATCGCTGTTTCGGATCAACTGAATCGATTCACAGGTGTGAAAGCACTCTTAAATTCACATTATTCAAAAACACAGGACAATGTTGAGGGAGTTCGGAAACGCTGCACACTGAGATAGAGAACACCTAAATGGACAGTTTGTGCTAATTTGCAGCTCAAATAACAGTAAGGCTGCGTCCAAAACCGCATACTTCCATACTATATAGTACGCTAAAATCAGTATGCGAACCGAGTAGTATGTCTGAATTCATAGAATTCGAAAATCAGTATGCGAGAAGTGCCCGGATGACTTGCTACTTCCGGCGAGATTCTGGAGTGTGCATCCCATGCATGCTGTGCTATCCCATGATCCCCTCGAGTGAATTCATGAATGAGAGTGAAGCCTGGTTTATACTTCTGCGTCAAGTGACCGGCGTAACTCACGGCGCAGGCAACGCGCGTGGCTGTGCATTTTTACTTCTGTGCGCTGTCTCTGTTGGTCTGCATTAGCACTTCCGAAACGCTAGTTGGCAGTGAGGTGTAAATGTTCCTCTGTGTCGAGTTTCTTCTCTGCTTTTTTGCTTTTCCTGAACACTCCCGGGATTTACAAGAGGCTCAAACTCGCTCATTTTGAGGCAGCAACCGGCGGACGTGCAACAACTTTAACCATGAGGTAAACACAAAACAAAACTTTCCATCCGGAGCTTCTTCACGGGACTCCACACTTGTAAACAATCGCTACATTGGGTTCGCGCCATTCGCGCGGCTCTCGGTCCCGCCCAGACTCGTCAGCGCTACCAAGCCGACCAATGACAGAGCTTGCGCTACGCGTTGTTGCGACGTGTAGTTACATTTTTTGAGAGGTGCACGTCAGCGGCGGCCACGGCGAAGGGCTATGCGTCAGCGCCGTAGCATACGCCGGTGTTTGACGCAGAAGTATAAATCAGCCTTAAAGCTACGCAACTGACGCATGTTGGTCACGTGACCATGACAAAATGGCGGATGTAGTATGTCCGAATTCCATTCATACTTTTCACATTCATACTGTATAGAACGTACTTTTCTAACGGCCGAGTACTACGTTTAAATTCAAATGCAGTACCTACTGAGTAGTTGACAGTTTCGGACGCAGCCTAAATCTATTAACAAAACAATTACTATATTGAAAAATGGCAATTAAAATCCCCCACTGGCCACAGAAGCTGCATTGTATTATATTGAACCCAGAATGTTACATAAAATGTACTTCTTTTTTGTTGTCCCACAAAACAAGCATGTAGTTTATTGGTTGCACTTTATTTTACAGCATTAGAGTTAGTTTTATTTTCACAAGTCAATACTATACGTCAACTTAACATATTAAGAGTAAGTTCAGAGATTGTAGCTTGTTATTAATCAGATATTATAATGTCTGTAATAAGCACATGTTATATACATGCTTTACCAGACTGTAAAATAAAATGCTACCAATATATTAGCTTGCTAATTCGTAGCAGTGTAATTCGCATTACATTTAAATGGAGAACATTTGTCAGTGTTTACCTTCATATAATTGTTTTCGGTGGAATACAAATTTGTTTTTGTGCAGATCATTCATTCATTGTTCTTCAGCTTAGTCCACAGTGAAATGAACCGCCAATTATTCCAGCACATGTTTTATGCGGCAGATGCCCTTCCTGCTGCAACCCAGTACTGGGAAACACTCACATTGACACACACACACACACACACACACACTCATACATCACGACCAATTTAGTTAACCCAATTCCCTAGCGCATGCATTTGGAGCCGGAGCACTCAGAGGAAACTCAAGTCAACATGGGGAGAACATGCAAACTCCACACAGAAACGCCAACTGACCCCTGCTTGCACTTGAACCAGCGACCCTCTTGCTATGAGGTCACCATACCTGATTTTTTTGCTGATCAGATACATGAAAACATGGTTTCCTACGACTGTTTGGCTTTCACATACCTCTTAGATTGCAGTTAGCTGAGGAATTGGCTAAATATGAACCTTATTTGCGTCACAGGTTATAAAGTCATGGAGGACTTGCATAAACATGTGCAGTTCACTTAAGTGTGCACGTATAAAACACAGGAACATCAATGAATGGAATCAACATGGTGTTAATACATAAATAAACGTCCTTCTCAGCACATGCAATGCTACACAGGCTTGTCCTCGAAGAGTATCTGAGCGTACACGGTTCCTGTCTTTGCAGCTTTGGCTTCAGGCAATGGCTTGATCAGCTCGAGCTCGGCGTATGTCAGACTCTCCTCTGCAATTTTGGGCTGTCGGGTCACATATGACATATTAAACACGACAATTGGCAGCTCCACAACACAAATAACTTGCATTCAATTGAAGCGACTTACCAAAACCACTTTTCTGGGCTGAGGTTTTAAAAGCTTCGGCTTGCGCATTTTGTCTGCAATAGGGGCTGAGATGGAATGTTTTGCTTATTAAAAGGATATTTAGGCACCTCAGGATAATAATGCATGCTAGGGATGGGACAGTTCATCAAAACATAGTTTGGTATGCGAGTGTACTGAACGCTTCACATATGTTTTTTATTTATTTATTTATTTATCATTTGACGGGTGTTTGGAGTGTTTTAGTGTTTGATTGGAATAAGTGATCCCATAATATGGATTCCTGTTCATTGCTGTGTTACTAAAGTTATGCCTCATGGATTTTGATTTTGACTGTTGCTAGAAGGGATACAGCTGCAGCCGTAAGTTGAGGAGAATTATTTATATTATTTATTTAATTACACAATTATTGTATTTTATTAACATCTAACCTTACACCAACCCAAAACCCAACATCACAGTAATGTAAAAACAGTAATTATGCTAAGTATTATTCATATTATTTATTAAATTACCCAATAATTGTATTTTATTAACATCTAACCTTACACCAACCCAAAACCCAACATCACAGTAATGTAAAAACAGTGATTATGCTAAGTATTATTCATATTATTTATTAAATTAGCCATTAAACTGTTTTTTTATTAAGGTCTACCTCATCCTAACCCAAAACCCAACATCACAGTAACATAAAAACAGTAATAATGCTGAGTATTATTCATATTATTTATTAAATTAGCCATTAAACTGTAACTTATGGAAGTTCTACTCATCCTAAACCAAAACCCAACATCACAGTAACATAAAAACAGTAATAATGCTGAGTATTATTCATATTATTTATTAAATTAGCCATTAAACTGTATTTTATTAACATCTACCTCATCCTATCCCAAAACCCAACATCACAGTAATGTAAATACAGTAATTATGTTGAGTATTATTCATATTATTTATTAAATTAGCCATTAAACTTTATTTTATTAACATTTACCTCATCCTAAACCAAAACCCAACATCACAGTAATGTAAAAACAGTAATTATGTTGAGTATTATTCATATTATTTATTAAATTAGCCATTAAAATGTTTTTATTAAGGTCTACCTCATCCTAAACCAAAACTCAACATCACAGTAATGTAAAAACAGTAATTATGCTGAGTATTATTCATATTATTTATTAAATTAGCCATTAAACTTTATTTTATTAACATCTACCTCATCCTATCCCAAAACCCAGCATCACAGTAATGTAAAAACAGTAATTATGTTGAGTATTATTCATATTATTTAATAAATTAGCCATTAAACTGTAACTTATGGAAGTTCTACCCATACTAAACCAAAACCCAGCATCACAGTAATGTAAAAACAGTAATAATGCTGAGAATTATTCATATTATTTATTAAATTAGCCATTAAAATGTTTTTTATTAAGGTCTACCTCATCCTAAACCAAAATTCAACATCACAGTAATGTAAAAACAGTACAAATGCTGAGTATTATTCATATTATTTATTAAATTAGCCATTAAATTGTATTTATTAACATCTACCTCATCCTAAACCAAAACCCAGCATCACAGTAATGTAAAAACAGTAATTATGCTGAGTATTATTCATATTATTTATTAAATTAGCCATTAAATTGTATTTATTAACATCTACCTCATCCTAAACCAAAACCCAACATCACAGTAATGTAAAAACAGTAATTATGCTGAGTATTATTCATATTATTTATTAAATTAGCCATTAAACTGTATTTTATTAACATCTAACCTTACACCAACCCAAAACCCAACATCACAGTAATGTAAAAACAGTAATTATGCTAAGTATTATTCATATTATTTATTAAATTACCCAATAATTGTATTTTATTAACATCTAACCTTACACCAACCCAAAACCCAACATCACAGTAATGTAAAAACAGTGATTATGCTAAGTATTATTCATATTATTTATTAAATTACCCAATAATTGTATTTTATTAACATCTAACCTTACACCAACCCAAAACCCAACATCACAGTAATGTAAAAACAGTGATTATGCTAAGTATTATTCATATTATTTATTAAATTAGCCATTAAACTGTTTTTTTATTAAGGTCTACCTCATCCTAACCCAAAACCCAACATCACAGTAACATAAAAACAGTAATAATGCTGAGTATTATTCATATTATTTATTAAATTAGCCATTAAACTTTATTTTATGGAAGTTCTACCCGTACTAACCCAAAACTCAACATCACAGTAATGTAAAAACAGTAATAATGCTGAGTATTATTCATATTATTTATTAAATTAGCCATTAAACTGTAATTTATGGAAGTTCTACCCATACTAATCCAAAACCCAACATCACAGTAATGTAAAAACAGTAATTATGCTGAGTATTATTCATATTATTTATTAAATTAGCCATTAAACTGTTTTTTATTAAGGTCTACCTCATCCTAACCCAAAACCCAGCATCACAGTAACATAAAACAGTAATAATGCTGAGTATTATTCATATTATTTATTAAATTAGCCATTAAACTGTATTTTATTAACATCTACCTCATCCTATCCCAAAACCCAACATCACAGTAATGTAAATACAGTAATTATGCCGCGTAATATTCATATTATTTATTAAATTAGCCATTAAACTGTATTTTATTAACATCTACCTCATCCTAACTCAAAACCAAACATCACAGTAATGTAAAAACAGTAATTATACCAAGTATTATTCATATTATTTATTAAATTACCCAATAGCTGTATTTTATTAACGTCAACCCCTTTCCAACTCTAAACCCAACATCACCCAAATGTAAAAAATGCTTGGTTGCACACAATTCCTTCCTGTTGTTCCAACACACATTGATTAAGTTAACTTAATTGTTTTTACAAATTTAAGTGCATTGAATATAAAACAATTAAGTTGTCTAAAAAAACAACAACAATTGTGTTGAGTATCCGCAGCTGTATCCCATCTAATTTTTACCTTTTATTTCTCCCGATTGTACAAACATCTCTGACAGTTATTGCTGCAAACTCAGGTTTGCTTTGTTTTTATCAGTTTAAATATTCCAGTGCAAGACGGAACAAAAACTCAAAACTTGTTTCTCTCACAGCTCATAAATGCTTTTTAATTAAACATGTTCTTGCACTGCAACATATAGGGAAATGCAAGTACACATTCGAGGAAGAGTTATTGAAATGACAGCAGGCAGAATGAATGCGCTGTCATCGTTACCATTAATCAACAACAAAAGAAGGCTTTGAGAATAACTTATGGTAGATCATAAGGCTACATCATTTATGCTGATGTATGGTACAGTGCTCAACATAAAGGAGAACACCCCGTTTTTCATTCATTCATTCATTCATTCATTCATTTTCTTGTTGGCTTAGTCCCTTTATTAATCCGGGGTCGCCACAGCGGAATGAACCGCCAACTTATCCAGCAAGTTTCTACGCAGCGGATGCCCTTCCAGCCGCAACCCATCTCTGGGAAACATCCACACACATTCACACACACACACTAATACACTACGGACAATTTAACCTACCCAATTCACCTGTACAGCATGTGTTTGGACTGTGGGAGAAACCGGAGCACCCGGAGAAAACCCACGCGAACGCAGGGAGAACATGCGACAGCACTACCTACTACGTATTTATTAAAATAATACTTTACTAACTGTACCTCTTTAGAAATAAACAGATAATACATTTAAATTAATGCAAAATATTGGGGAAAAGAATTACAAACTACTAAATTTCAACAAAATTTTAGACATTTTTGATTTGATTCTTGATTATTCCTCTCGTTTTATTTGTATTTAATATTTTTCTCAAACATATAAATTTGGGTGTACTCGTTTTGGAGCGTCATCATAAGTTATTTTGTTAGGTAAGCTCCAGATTTGGCTTCAGTACTGACTAAACCAATGTATATGCACAAATATAATATTGTAAAGCGTCCAGTAGAAAATATTGATTTATATGAGAGATTTGTGAGGGGTGAACTCGTATATGCTCAGCACTGTATTTCTAAATGGTGTTTATGTGTAATTTATGTTCAATGTAAACCAAATCAAACCGAAAACCATGAACTCAGAACCATGAATCAAATGGGCATTTTGTGAAGCGTCCCACGCCTAATGCATGCAGAAATATAGAGGCTTATTTTGGAGCTATTACTCTACCTTTAGCCGGTATCTCTGGTGGAACATCCGCCTGCTCCACAGTTTTGTTTTTCTTGTACTTTCTGACCTTCTTGGGAAGAGCTGGAGACAAACTGACCAGGCTAGTGACCGTCTCTCCCGAACTGAGCACACAAGCGCACGGTTTTGAGAAAATGCTGTTTTGTTGTTGTGTCAAAAATTGTAAATCATATCAATCATTTTTTTCAGCTTAGTCCCTTATTTATCAAGGGTCACAACAGCATAATGAACCGCCGACTATTCCAGCATACGTTTTATGCAGCGGATGTTCTTCCAGCCACAACCCAGTACTGGGAAACACCCTTATACACTCACAATTACACACACACTCATGGACAATTTAGCTTACCCAATGCACCCAGAGGAAACCCACGCCAACATGGGGAGAACATGCAAACTCCACACAGAAAGGGGTGGGACTTGAACCAGCGACCTTGCTGTGAGGCGACAATGCTAACCACTGAGCCACCGTGCCGCCTTGCTAAAAAATGCATTAATAAATGTCTTACCTGTTCTGTGGACTCTTGACCAAATGATAGTTTTCTAACAAATAAAAGCATATAAAAGAAATAGATTAGACTTCAACATCTAATTAAAGCCTTTTTAATTGTCCATAGCATGGATTTTAAGTGTTTATTAGACTATTTCACGTAAAGAATCGCACCTTTTAACCGTCTCTTCCTCTGTAGATACTGGCAGCTCACAGCTATAGTGAACATGCACATGCACAAGAGTCCGACACAACACACCAGCACAGCACACAGATACACATCTGAAACATACATACAGAGAAATACACTGGCGTCAAACATATGTACAGTATGAAGCCAAAATCATTCGCCCTCCTTTGAATTTTTTTTTCTTTTTTCTAATATTTCAACAACATTTGTTCGCTCCCCTTCTCCCCTGTGGCCACGCCCACTCCTGCCCGATGCTCGCGGAGCTCCACGCCCATTAATCATGCATCTTTTAAAAAAATTCTGAAGTAGACTTTAACTGAAAGTGGCCCTTTAAAAAATGTGTGTAAACTCATTGCCATGTGATTATTACGTCAACAATGTGTGACATAATTATACAACATAATTATGCAAGTTAAGTCAATGGGTTTACTGACTTCTTTTAAGTAAAGTAACTAAAGACTTTTTACACTGTAGTATGCTATTCACTACATCTAAAAAGAACAGCTTTAGCACATTTACATTTTTTTTTAGTCTAAGACAATATGGTTGAACAGAGTTTTGTGGATCACCTTCAAACAGACTCCACAGATCCTCCTTTGGTCTGCCGGCTGGGAGAACATGCACTGCGAGGGGAAGAAGAGAGAAATGCACACTCATCACTGCGGCTCCAGACCCTCATAATTACACGGCACATGCAGTTAAATCAGGCAAATTGCAGGGGCAGTAGTGTGTGTGTGTGGGACGACAGCAGTGATGCTTTCCCTTATTCTGGATACACTCCTGGCTCACGGTGGCAAGCACCCGCTATGATGCCCTGAAATACCCATGAAAACGGCAGCTGACGACAGTAAGGCGAGCTGGACAGGCAAACAGAAGAAATTCAACCAACTATTTGGGTGCAGAGTAGACCACTGAAGAGCAAATTTGGCTCATGTGAATCAAATGAGTTCGACTGAATCCTTGTGCTCTGTCAGAAGTGGAAGTGGTCATGAGACGGAAGCTGTAATACACTCTAAAGAAAAAGATTTAGCTGCTTGTTCAAGCTACTTATGTGATACGAGTTGAAACAACACAATATTTCAGTTTTGGGGGGTGGCAACTTAATTTATTAATCTTAAATTCACTTAAATTTGTAAAAGCGATTAAGTCAACTTAATCGATTTGTGTTGGGACAACATGAAGGAATTGTGTAGAACCCTGCATTTCTTTACAGTATGAATTTTTTTTTCCTATTGTGAAAGTGTTGGGCATGCTGCTTTAGAAGAGTAATTAGTTATAGTTACTACAGTATTTACTTCTCACAAATAGGAACCGAGTTAGTAGAGCCGATTCCAATGTTATCACTCGATTGAATGGGTGTTATCAGTGGTTATGAGCTGATAGATATGGGCTAGTAGGGGCCTTTCCGCGCCTACTGGTAAGCTCAGAAGGCTGTTATCATCCATCCACATGGTTAATCAGCTATAGATCACATATGGCTGTGGCCAGAAGTAACCAAGATTTATTTATATTATTTATTAAATTTCCCATTGATTGTATTTTACTAAGGTCTACCCTTACCCCAAACCTGCATTCAACCAAACAAATAGTCCGCAGCACTGAGCTCAAAACTCTCTGTTCCCTGAAACAAGATCACATTTTCCACTGACAGTATTTGTAAGAAGCAGAGAGAGTCTCTGCCATGTGAGGGAGGATGTGGTGCAGATTTAAATACACAGTAGCAGCGAGAAAGCAGGGGATGCTGACTGTGTTTGCGGATTCAACGCAGGGAGATGTTTTGTATGGCTTTCCTTACGTCTGAAAAAAGAAGTCAATATACAGTTGAAGTCAGAATTATTAGCCCTCCTGTATATTTCCCCCCAATTTCTGTTTAATGAGAGAAGTTTTTTCAAGACATTTGTTAACATAATAGTTTTAATAACTCATTTCTTATAACGGATTTATTTGGTCTTTTCCATGACAGTACAGAAATGATTACTAGATATTTTCACGATACTAGTATTTAGCTTAAATTAACAATTAAAGACTTAATAAGGTTAAGTTCGGGTAATTTGGCAAGCCATTGTATAACATTGGTTTGTTCTGTAGACTATTAAAAACAATTATAGCTTAACCACTTAAACTCTGCGGACCCGGTACCTGGTCGACTTTCGCTTTCAGATTTAAAGGGCTAGCGTTGCACCAGACCCCCGTAAGTGGTGTCGTTTAAAAGTGTAGAATCTATATTTTATGCACATATGCATCACTTTGGTTTTTATTCTACTGTATAAAAGTTATTTACACTTAAATACACAGTATTTTGGAAACCCGAGCTGGGTATTTTACATTGGTTCATTTTCATATTTCATATATATCATGTACAAGTTATAGCTCAAATGAAAGCTCTTGCCGGTGCTCATACAGTTCTAGCATTCTTTTTACTGAATTATATTCATATACAAAACAGTTGTTGAATGAATTGTGGTGTTTCTATGGCGCAGAAATGTAAACAATACATTCATGATCAATAAGCAGCCCCAAATAGCACAGACAGCTGTCATCTCTTACCTTATGCTGTGCCCTTCAGGGCCATTCTCTTCTGTTTTTGAGCTGATGTGCATAAGTAATGCTTTTATATGTCTGATGTGGTCCAAACACAGTGAATTATGTTTGATCAAACAAAAGAATAATGTAATATGAAAACAATGATCAGTCCTTGTGGCTTGTACAGCATCTCTCATCAGTTGGAATACAATAACTTTTGCATAGATTATGGTGGAGACATTTCTCTTTTTTCCTATGATTACAGACGTGTGCAGGAACCACCAAAATTAATTACAGCACGCTAGACCACACACAACCTAAAAGGTACACTTTCAAATTTGAGTTTATAAAAAAAATACAAAAAGCGCCTCTTTTTTAGGTGTTTATTATAACATAGACGACATATACAGATATTTTAAACACTTTCAATAGTGTTTTATGAAAAATCAAAGGGTTTTCTTTAAAATGATACCAAATTTTGTGTGAATTTGGGAAGCTTTTAAATTGGAGTAGACAAAATCCAGGCGGAAATCCCCAAATAGCAGCAGAGTTTAAGTGGTTAAAGGGGCTAATAATATTGACCTTAAAATTGTAATAAAAAAAATTAAAAACTGCTTTTATTCTATCCGAAATAAACCAAATAAGACTTTTTCCAGAAGAAAAAATATTATAGGAAATACTGTGAAAAATTCGTGAATCTGTTAATCATCATTTGGGAAATATTTCACAGGACGGCTAATGATTTTGACTTCAGCTTTGTCCTGTATTGGCTATCTGTGAAAAGCCAAGATGTGAAGTACAGTAAATGGGTTTGTGTTGTATACGCGGTTTTGTTCTGGTCAGCTCTGAGTAAAAGGACTAGAGCGTGATCATTCATATTGCCAAGACAGAGGGAAATGTTGTTCACTTTACATACTCTTTAATATATTCACTACTTCTTTTCAGAGCTGAATGTGATGTGCGGGTGAACTGGAATCATTAATATGTCAATAGACGCAGCTGCTGTATTGAAACATCTCCATTCATGCATCAGGGAGGTTTTTAACAAATGGCTTTTGGCAAAAACAGTGACAGAAGCATTCAGTAGCCACCGAAGACTCAGGATCTGGATCTTTTTATGTGTCTAAATATGAGCCACATGACTCAATGGAGCTTTTGTCCCTCCCTGATTGGGTCAGGCCTGAGCTGGAGCTCTAAAAATAAGCACATTTCTGCAGGACGCATGAATAGTGAAATAAATAATGATCCATGTACAAGCTTAGAGCTGTGTGGGTTCATGAGAATGCAAAGCCAACTGGAGATGTTGGGCATTGTATACAGTAAGTGTTGCATGCAGAATTGTTGCAAACAATTTGTGTGTTGAATTTAAACAAACAAATTAAATGTAATAATGTTCAACTAAATTTGTTTGTTTAAATATAGTTAAATATTTTTTACAGCTACTTAACGTATAAAAAAATTGAGTAAATCCAAGGATTCATCTTTAAATAGTTTTTGTTCAGTGTATTTTGTGTCAAACCGAATGCTAAATACAGTAGCAAACTGTAAAAAGTGATTATTTGCTTTACTTAAAAAGTGAGTAAACTCATTGTAACTGTTAAATATTTTGGTCCCATTTATATTAAGTGGCCTTAATTAATATGTACTTACACAGGAATTAATAGTTTGTTACAATGTACTTATTGTGTAAATACATGTATTTATTGTGTACTTATGCTTGATTGAATACCTGTATGTAATTACATCTGTAATTAACTTCTGTAATTACATTTTTAAATACACTGTTGACCATCCCTTACACTTTAACCCACCCTTAAACCAACCCACACCACCAAACCTGTCCATAACCCAACCCCTATCCCAACTCAAAAGCACCACAAGTGTTCTCAAATACATTATGAACACAGTAAGTACATTGTATTTATTTTTTTGATGCAAGTACATAGTAGTTAAGGACACTTAATATAAAGTGGGACCAATATTTGACTTAATTTGTGTAATTATGCATGGTTAATTGACTAATTAACTCTCTTTTTAAAGTACATTTTATACAGTGCAGATCCCTGATACGTTAGTGTTTTAAATATGTCTGTCTCGTAACTCCTTTTTATATACAAGTGTAGTATGTGACTGATTCCTGCTGGGCTGGATTAGACCTGCTCTTAAAGGGATAGTTTACTCAAAAATGAAACTTCAAAAATCAGTTTTTAAATTTTTTTTTTTCATGAAAAAGTTATTTGAAAGCTTTTATACATACCAAACCAACCCAGCGGACACCTCAATGTCAAAACAACAAAGAAACCGTGTAAAAAAAAAAACCCCAAACACTTCAAAAATGCAATTTTGATCGATTTAATCAAAATGAATCAGTTTTTGACATTTTTAAGTCAGTTAAGTTTGTTGTCATTTTGACATCTAGGTAAGTTTACATGCGTTGTAGGGATTTAAAATCCAGTGTAAGTTTGTAATTAGTAATTAAAGCCTATAGAGGAAAAAAAATTTCTTATAATGCTTTTTGGGTCGTTATTTTGGTGGTCAAAAGGGCATTAATGTGTGGATGTTTAATAGATGTCAAGGTTTTGGCATCGAATCGATTTGCATTTCACATTTACATTTAGTCATTTAGCAGATGCTTTTATCCAAAGCAACTTACAAATGAGGACAAGGAAGCAATTTACACAACTATAAGAGCAACAATGAATAAGTGCTGTAGGCAAGTTTCAGGTCTGTAAAGTCTAAGAAGGAAAGTATTAGTAATTTTATTTTATTTATTTATTTATTTTTATTTTTAAAACAGTAAGTGGTATATCCAGAGAGGCAATTGCAGATTAGGAAGTGAAATGGAGAGTGGAAACATTTTAGAGGTGTTTTCTGACATCATGTTTGATGTCATTTTGACATCCAGGTGCCTGCTGGGAACAACAAAAAGAGCCCCATGTGAACTCAAATAATCAGCGAAAACCAATGGACACAATAGAAACTAATGAACTAATTACTTAAACCTCCATTGTCTGCTTTTGTTGTTTTGTTTAATCTATGTTGGTGGTCAGATACAACTGACAAAGTTTGTTTACCTTTCCATATTCCCAGAGGGCCAATAGTTTCACCTTAAAGCAAAACCTGCGTCTTTTAAATGTTTGCTAAAAGTGAATTTTGCAGTACAATCACTTTAAGCTAACACAGATGGACCAAAAGCCACAAGCATCCAGTTGTGATTTGGTGGTGTCTTTAAGTAGGCCATGCGATGGCCACACACAGCAGCTTTTTGCTGGAAAACTCTGATCTAATAGTCGAGTCTCTGACCTCCTTTTTCTCTTTGCTTTTTCTGATTCTGCATTTACTCAAATTCAATCTGCACCTATTTTGTCTTGAATCCGTAGAGTGACAATCTCTGAGTCCGTCTGTCTGTACAGCAAGTCAGCGAAGAAAAACTCCATTATTCAGCCAGTGTCAATAGCGTTTGGCTGTCATTACACTTTGTTTCTGTCAACTCCGACTGCCAAAAGACAGATATATAGCGCATAAATATTAGATCACATTTCCACATGTTTTCAATGGAAAATCTCACACATGAAGAGATTCTCGACATCTGTCGGTTATGCGGTGAGTATTTTGTCAGATGTTTCAAACCTCGAGACAGTTTAAGAGTCCAGATGAGAGAAACTCTGAGTCAATCAAATCAGCTTGTGAATTTGGGGTAGTGATGGGTGCTTTCGAAACATCGCTTTGTGAAATCAGATTTGTGGTTCGGTGCTGGTACCACACTACATATATCTAGTGACAGTATTCAAGGCTTTGTTTTGTCATCACTGTTTTGAAATGTTTCAATTTCAATGCAAAACATAAACAATAGACATAAAACATTGTTCTGGGCCATAATAGTTTATCGATTCTTTAATTAAACGCAAAGCTGACAGAAACTGCTGATGGAGTATACACTAACCTGCACATTATTCAGACACACGATGCTGCCAAAACAGTTAAAAATTCAAAGCTGGCATAGATGATAACAGCTGATAGAGTATACACTAACCTGCACATTATTCAGACACAAGATGGCGCCAAACTGTCAACAACACAATGCTGACAGAAACGAAAACAGCTGATGGTGTATACACTTATCTGCGCATTATTCAGACACAAGATGGCGCCAAACAGTCAAAAACACAAAGCTGACAGAAACGAAAACAGCTGATGGAGTATACACTAACCTGCACATTATTCAGACACAAGATGGCGCCAAACTGTCAACAACACAAAGCTGACAGAAGCGAAAACAGCTGATGGAGTATACACTAACCTGCACATTATTCAGACACTAGATGGCGCCAAACAGTCAAAAACACAAAGCTGACAGAAACGAAAACAGCTGATGGAGTATACACTAACCTGCACATTATTCAGACACAAGATGGTGCCAAACAGTCAAAAACACAAAGCTGACAGAAACGAAAACAGCTGATGGAGTATACACTAACCTGCGCATTTTTCAGTCACAAGATGGTGCCAAACAGTCAAAAACACAAAGCTGACAGAAACGAAAACAGCTGATGGAGTATACACTAACCTGCACATTATTCAGACACAAGATGGTGCCAAACAGTCAAAAACACAAAGCTGACAGAAACGAAAACAGCTGATGGAGTATACACTAACCTGCGCATTATTCAGACACAAGATGGCGCCAAACAGTCAACAACACAAAGCTGACAGAAACTAAAACAGCTGATGGAGTATACACTAACCTGCGCATTATTCAGACACAAGATGGCGCCAAACAGTCAAAAACACAAAGCTGACAGAAACTAAAACAGCTGATGGAGTATACACTAACCTGCGCATTATTCAGACACAAGATGGCGCCAAACAGTCAAAAACACAAAGCTGACAGAAACGAAAACAGCTGATGGAGTATACACTAACCTGTGCATTATTCAGACACAAGATGGCGTCAAACATTTAAACACACAAAGAAAGCAGCTGATGGAGTACACACCAACCTACGTATTATTCACTTACAAGATGGTGCCAAACATTGTGTGAAAGACCAGCAGATACATGTATCTGTGGCATTTTGAGGGCTTTGAATTGTTTAATCGATTTAATAAGTGATTGAAAACAGCTGACTTAAAGATACATAAAGCTTCGTTTAGCGCTGTGTAGACAAACCTCTGAGCTGCGTGGAGGCCGAGCTGTTGGTGGAAGCTTTCCATCGCTCCTGGTGTTTGTTAAACTCCTGCACCCTGCAGCTGTACACACCCCTGTCCCGCTCGCTGATGTTCACGATCAGCAGGTTGAAGATCTTGCCCTGTTTCACCACGGTCAGCTTCATTTTGGGCTTGCGGAAGCTCTTGGTGTAGTTCCCGTAAAACTTGGCTCTCTTCATGTTCACTCGTGCTACCAGCAGCTCCTCTCCTCCAGATTCTGGTTGAAACATCCAGCGAACCACCGGCAGACTCGCTGATCGCTTCCGCTGGCTTACCTGCAGTAATGTGAAGTAACACATTACAAATACTCAAATTACTCTAATGGGGTATATGTACAGTGAGTGACAGATTAACATGACCACTACCGCCATGTGTGATGTCGCTGCGGTACAATTGGATTATGAAATTGTGTTTAGGTGCGACTATGCCGCCAGGGCGCTTGAAAGGACGGGATGCGAATGGACAGAAATATAAAGTAGCTGTAAATACCATATAAATGAAGATGATATAACGAAACAAAGCATTGTAATTCCTTCAGGAATCATTAAAAACTTGATAACATGCTTTATTATCATTGCAAATTTCTTAAGTCCAATAAGGTTTCGTTTTGGAAATTAAAGCAAAAGAAATAGAAGACAACTAAAATGAAAACACAAACAAACAAACAAACAAACAAACAAACAAACAAACAAAGCAGTTTGGATGAAAGAAAGAAAGCAAGAAACAAACAAACAAACGAAGCAGTGTGGTCTACAAACAAATAAACAAATAGAGAAAAAGAAAGAAAGAAACTAACAAACAAACTAACAAACAAACAAAGCAGTGTGGACTACAAACAAATAAATGAAAAAAAAAGAAAGAAGCAAACTAACAAATAAAGCAGTGTGGAATACAAACAAACAAACAAACTAACAAACTAACAAATTAATTAATTAATTAATTAATTAATTAATTAAAAAGGGGTGAGGCAGTGGCGCAGTAGGTAGTGCTGTCGTCTCACAGCAAGAAGTTCGCTGGTTCGAACCCACAGTCCAAAGAGAGGTGAATTGGGTAGGCTAAATCTTCCGTAGTGTATGAGTGTGTGTGTGAATGTGTGTGTGTGTTTCCCAGAGATGGGTTGCAGCTGGAAGGGCATCCGCTTATAAAAACTTGCTGGATAAGTTGGCGGTTCATTCCGCTGTGGTGACCCCGGATTAGTAAAGGGACAAGAAAATGAATGAATGAATGAAATAAATAAATAAATAAATAAATAAATAAATAAATAAATAAATAAATAAATAAATAAAGCAGTGTGGACTAGAAAGAAAGAAAGAAAGAAACAAACAAACAAACAAACAAACAAACAAAGCAGTGTGGTATACAAATAATCAAACAAATAAATAAAGATAGAAACAAAGAAAGAAAGAAAGAGAAAAAACAAACAAACAAACAAACAAACAAACAAACAAACAAAGCCATGTGAAGTACAAACAAACAAATAAACAAATAAATTCAATAAATAAAGCAGTGTGGACTACAAAGAAATAAAGAGAGAAACAAAGAAAGAAAGCAGTGCGGACTACAAATAAATAAATAAATAAATAAATAAACATACATACATACAAACAAATAAACAAAGCAGTGTGGACTACAAACAAATAAATAAACAAACAAACAAACAAACAAAGCAGTGTAAATTTTTAATCTTCCGTCAGCCAGCCTAAGCGCTTTTGGTCGCAGCATTACAAAATCGGCACATTTAAGATCTGATTTCTTAAAAAATCTGTGATCTTCTGTTGATTGATTCTGCGTGATTGATATATAACCGTAAAAACGTTATTTTAGATGTCAGTATCATTATGTTAGTCTTCAAGGATGTCTATAAGCTAGTGTGGTACAAAACAATGACAAATTTTGCGTTTAGAAGATATTAAACGGATATCAACATGTAAAGCTTGTTGTTTGTCACTTCCGTCTGAATCAGGGATTCTCAACCGGTGGACAACGGCCTGCTGGTGGGCCGCGAGATAACTTAAAAGTAACTCCCGGTAATATACTATAATTTTGGGATTTCATTATAATACGCTATATTAAAATGATCGGAGTAATGCACTTTCTCCTGTTCTCTGATTGATTACTTCAAACTCGGTGCAAAAACTATTATTTTTAATATTTTTTATAATATTAGCCCAGCTCTATATTTTTCCCCAATTTCCCCCAAAACAAAAATATTTTTTTTGTAAACATAATAGTTTTAATAACTCATTTCTAATAACTGATTTATTTTATCTTGCCATGATGACAGCACATAATATTTCCCTAGATATTTTTAAGATACTAGTATCCACCACTGCTCACCTGACAGGACAGGGTGATGTTTTGACCCTCCGCCACCACCGTGAAGGGAGCCGGAGAGACTGTGACGTTGATGGATGAACACACATCTGGAATCAATGAGAGCAATGCGACATTTAACAGAGCAGTTGAGAGTAAAAATGCACGCAGGGTAGATGAACATTTATTAAACGCAGGCGATTCCTTATTCAGTGTCTCAGTCATGTAAGCCAGCAATTTGTTTGCAGACTTTAAAGAGAATTATAAAGCGGTGCATGCTGGGATATTAAAAGTGAGAGGCTTTCCAGATCCTGTTGCTTCTGCTTAATGAGCCTTTTTGACAGGCCATCTGGAGAGCATTACTAGGGTGGATCTCAGGCAGACCTCCCCACAGATGACCTATTCAATTTGCATGTATTTAAAAATACTTAACTTGTATACCTTTTATATTTTTATTTATATAAACATAACAAGACCCCTTTTTTTATAAATAAAATTAGACACGCACATGTACACACAAATATACAAACGCGCACACACACACACACACACACATAAATATATATATATATACATACATATATATATATATGTGTGTGTGTGTATGTATGTATGTATGTATATATATATATATAT